AGTTCAGCTCCTCCCTCGACACAATCCTAGTGCCTTCATAGTGAAGGCACTTCTGAAGAAAGAGCAACAGGGACTAAGTACCACATAGCCGTGACTACCAGGACATGACCATGCCAAAGCCCAGGGAACAGCAGCAGTAGCAAAATGGCCCTACAGATGAGACACTGAGTGACTTAACCACTGGGGCCTGCAGTGCACTACTTCTGAGCCTTCAGCTCCTTGTCCCCTTTCTTTTTTGTTTTTTAACCACTGTATTGAGGTATGACTGACATAGAAAAAGCTGCATATATTTAATGTGTAGAACTTGATGAGTTTGGAGATAATTATACACTTATGAAACCATCACCACAATCTATGCAATAAACGCATTCATCACCTTCAAAAGTTTTCTCCTGCCCTCATTAGTAGTTATTTTTTGTGATAAGAACATTTAACGTAATATCTAGCCCTGTAGCAAAATTTTAAGTCTAAAGTACTGTGTTGTTCCCTACAGGAACTATGCTGTACAGATCTCAAGGATTCATTCATTCTGCATAACTAAAACTTTGCTCCTTGTGACTATTACTTCCCCATTTCCCTTCCTCAGATGAGTCTGGAGGACATTAATCCTCAGTGAAATAAGCCAGAGGCAGAAAGACAAATAGTATATGATACCACTTATATGAGGAACTAAAAACAGTCAAACACATAGAAGCAGAGAGCAGAATGCTGACCGCCCTTGTCTCTTTTCTTGATACTCAGCCAAGGACAAAAAGAAAAGCCAGGCATCCAGCAGCTCCATTGTCAAGAGCTCCATGGAGAGGCTTGGTTTCTTTGCCCTGGTTGTATTACCCACTTTACACTTCCTCATTGATCCTCCTGAGGCTAAGGGCAAAAGATTCCACTGTTAACGGCCAACACACTGCCTAACCAGCGCAGAGTCCTTACTCTTGAACTTCCGTTCCTTGTACCTAACTTTGCAGGGTCTCTTGATAGCTGACCCCAGGGCCCACATATCTTCAGATTTGTGGAGAATGGTGCTTTAAGGTGGTAAGGGAACACTCCCCTAGTCTCAGGTCAGTTTTCTCCATTATTTTTATTTTATGTCCATTATTTTTCTCTAATCCCTTTCACCATTCATATAATATCTCAACCATGCCCCGTGGAGTGGTTTTAACCATTGAGTCCTTTTTGCAATAAAAAAAATTTTTGTTAAATATACTCCCTTTAATTGTATATGTCTCAAATATTGTACCATAAGTTCATTTTAAATTAATTTTTAACGATATTCATTAAAGAGTAGTTTTGACATTTTCCCATTTAATTAATGCTTTGCTCTTTAATTTATTTAAACAAATTATAGATGATAGTATATATGATTTACAGACAAATAATCCATAATGATGTGGGATGTTTGGTTAGTAAACTGGAAGCTATCAAAAATGCAGGCCAAAGGTTAAGTAGATATTGTTGTATTAACAATTGCATTCAATATTTGATGTTTGAAGGCTCAGAATTCTGAGTTTCAAAAAGTTTGCTCCTTTATTTTTATAACTTTTGTATGTTTCTAAATGAAAAAACAAAAGATAAGGCCTCAAATTATTACTTGCAAGCAGATTTTCACAATTACCACATTGCTGGACTTGGAAGCTTGGTTCCTTCAAAAACGGAAGGTCAAATTAGCCAAAATCATGAGCATAGTTTTTCTTTGCATGTCAATTTTTTAAAGTAATAAGCAAACTTTGATTGAATGAAATGTATAGATGCAGTTAAGATCAATTAAGACATAGGTTTACAGAATAGGTATGCATCCTCTCTTTAATTGTTGAATGAATATAGCTTTACACTAAATAGTATGTGCTACATCAATCCCACTCCCTCTCCAGATCCAGTATCTTTCTTTATCTCATGTCTCGTTGTAAAAAGTTGATTTTTATGGACTGCTTCAACAGTGTCCTTTGTGCTCTGGTTCCTACTGGATTTGGCCACTGGGGATATATTGAAGAAAAGTAGAGTTGGGGTATTCATCCCCCCCAGCTGGTAGGTCACGTGAGCTGGCTAAGCCTTCTGACTAAAGGTTATAGCTTGTTGAAGGGCTTCTCTCCATGCCCTCACCTCTTCAGAAGTGACTTGACTATGGCTCCCTGCTGAGTTCTTCACTATCCCTTGTTTTTCTACACTCTGCTCACACTTTTAAAATATTCTCTCTATTAAACACTCATCAAATTACACGATTTAAGGTTCAGTGTGCCATCTCTTTTCTGCTTGAACCCTAAGATTCAAACAGAATCTTGAATTCAAGGAGAATTCTTGAAAGAAATGAAAACAATGTGAAATTATGTAAGGTTCAGAAACATGGCAGCCAGTCAGCAAATGTAAAGCACTGAGCAACTGAACCATGAGCTCTCTCATCTGATATCCATTAAGTGCCACACATGTTCAGCCAAACACATATTCGAGGCTCAAGAGAAAAGCAGTCCAAATATTTACCTTATTCTGACTTTTTAAAGTAGAAACTGAAACCACAACACTCTTTAACTATAAACACTCCCTAACAACCCCAAAATTTTACAAACCACCAGCTGAGAGAAAAAAAAAAGTTCTGCTAAGTATAGTGATAATTTTTCACCCTATGCCAGTGGATAACTTATGAATAATGTGTGAGGGGCATGTATGTAAGTGTGTATTGGGGGTGTGTGTGATGCTTTAAAATCCCTGGATATGTAAGACTGTACAACCCTACTGATGAAAATTAGGCATAGCACCAGTGTTTGAAGTGAATTTCTGATCACTTAATCTGTAAATGGAGATAGATCCACTCTGTCCTCTAATCCAGACTTCAAGCCAGGATCCAAAGGATTCTTCACTGTCCAGCAAGAGATACACAGGCCTAAGACCATCCCATCCCATCCAATCATTGCTTGAGTCTCTGAGAATTTGTGAGGAGCTGGATCAGACACGGGGGATGAATATAGTAGTATGTAATCACGGGAACATCACGTGAAGAGTTGGGATCACTGACTTCTCAGCTAAGAGCTGTGATGTGCAGAGAGCTTCGAGTACTCCACACTGCTTCCTGAGGACAGAGGCAGAGAAGGAGACGTGGCCACAGCAATTTAGGGTACGAGGAGTCCAGTCTTCCCCATCTGGTTGACCATGCCAATGGAACATAAGGCCAGAAAATGGAGCCTAATGTGACACTAGAGAATACATGTCACAAAATATAATGTTTATTGATTTTTCTTTTAATATAATTCCTCCAACTCTACTATGGCCTGAAAGTTAGTGGGGTGGTGCCAGCTGCTAGAATGTCCAGTGAAGATATGTTTGCAAGGCAAAAAGCTTATTCATCCAGATCCTTCCTATGTTTCACATCTCTAACTTCAAAGTTGGCTGTGCCTATCTACCTGTTCTCTCTCCTCTCTTTCTCTCTCTCTCTCTGTCTCTCTCATGGGAAAGTTGTAGATAGTCTACAATCAAGTAAGAGAAAGTCCAGAATCCCCAAGGCGATACCAGAAAGGGTAGGGTAGATGGAGCCAATGAAGGAAGATCATGTAAGAATAGAGGACTAACCTGCTTCTTCCCAACCATGTAAAATGGCTAAGAATACGAATCATTCTACTTCCTCCTCCACGTCTTTCTTTTACCCCCTTCACTTTTCAACCTATTTCATCCGACCTCTTTACAGGCTAGAAAGAAACCAGCTACAGGACTCTATGAACTGAGGAGATAATCCAGTTATAATGGAAAGCCACACCCTTGAAGGAATGTAGCCTTCCGAAGAAAAACTTGGTAACTGAGGCTACTGTATGATATTCCCTTTCAGCACTAGGCAAAACAGCAAAATTAATCTTTTTCTAGGTCTCACTCACCCTCAACACCCCTACCTCAGATAGCCAACATTTCCTTGTACCCCGTGCCAAAAGTGCTATACTGTCAGTTCATCCCAGCACTTGATCCAAAAAAAGTTACATGAATACATAAACAAATTAGGAATTAATTGATGAGGAATATATCCCCCCAAATTATTTTACTTTACTAAAGCAGAACTTCCCTTTACTGAGTTCAGCTTACTACTGATTTAAAAACATTTGGGGTGCCTGGGTGGCTCAGTTAGTTAAGTGTCCGACTTTTGATTTTCGCTCAGGTTATGATCTCATGATTCTTGAGTCCCAGGCCTTCGATGGTCTCTGCAGTGACAGTGTGAAGCCTGCTTGGGATTCTCTCTCTCTCCCTCTGTCTCTCCCCACCACTTGCATTCTCTGTCTCTCTCAAATAAATAAACATTTTTAAAAGTCTTTGTAGTATGATTCACCACCCGTTTAACCTTCCCAGAGGGTCCTTTTATTCCTAAGGTAGATCTCTCTACAATGAAAAAAGCCATAATCCAAATCTGCTGAGGTCAATAACATGTGGCAACTAGGGAATTTCACAGCATGTGCCCTTGGGACCCACCACTGCCCCACCTTCCTCTTTCCAGCGGCCCTGCACCCCAGGAGGCCATTTGGCAGTCACACCAAGAGACAGAGTAGCCATAAATAGCCACAAATGAGGAGGCCATCTCTTTCCAGGAACTGGACTACATTTCTTGCTTCTGTGTTGGCCTTCCTGTGTTGAATTCTGTTCAACACAATAATGTGTCCACAAAAATAGTGCTGCTCAACAACCCCACTGGTTTTCTGCTTCCAAGCGAGGAGTGAGACAGGCCAGCAGTCTTCAGGAGGAGATTTTAACAAAATAGGAAGTGCTATTTTTTAAATCACCAACAAGGAAATTTGCTGTGAAAGTGTATCCATCTCTCCTAAAATGTACTAATACCCGTATTCATAACCCTGACTCTCGCATGAGCTCTACAACAACTGAAACACCTCTTAAGTAAAGGGACCTGGAGAAATAAGGCCTTTCATAAATGAAGAGACGTACTGAGCACTGGATTCGGGTGACAGGGTTTATCTACCTTGGGGTGTTTGTGAAGGCCTGGGGAGCCTCCTACGGTGGCCATGGGGTGTCAGGCCCCTTACCTTCCCACACTGCTTACATTTTCCCTCCTGCCGACGCCTGTGCACCCAGTGATGACGCACAAAGTTCTGTGGGAAAACAAAAGGAAAAGAGTATGTTTAAATGTGCAAAGCCCATTATTAGTTTTTTTAAACGTTTAAGCATATTGATTTCCACAAACTATAGTCTAAGGCAATATGAGCACAATACCAAATACGTGTAGGTGTGATTTGCTTAACAATAAATATGAATGCACTTAGAAACCCGAAGCTACCCCCACGCCCAGTGATCTTCGTATTTGTAGAAATCATGAATCGTCTCTTCCCTTCACGTCTTCCTCATGGCCACACGGGGAAGATCTTCCTCTGCTTTCTTTCTAGTAAAACACTGTGCAGATGTGGGAGGTAACTGAAATGCCCTCAGAGAAGTGAAAAGGTGAAGGAGACAAGATGAAACACCCTCCATTTTTAAAAACAAATATGTATTGAATCCTTCATATATTCCAGGCAGGCACTGTATTAAACATCCGTGCTAGGAAGAACTTTAAGAAATTAAATTCTCAGAAAGAAACAGATCTCATTCAGGACACAGAGGATGAGAATTTTTCACTAGCAAAAGTGAAAGATGAAGGAGAAAGATGACAAAGAAGGCAAGAGATGGGGACCCGTTGTGATGCTTTAGCAGTGACATTGTGTTTAAACTGTCCTTGGGTTCTCTAAACAAGAGCAGCTTTCGAGGTCTATTCTTATCTTGGGCCCTAGGAAACACAGAAAGCCCTTTTCCTCCCAAATTGACAATCACTCCTCGGGCAGGGAGTCAAGGAGACCCATTACCACCACTGTTAGGATACATTATAGGAGAGAAAGTTGTCTTCAGGCCCAATGGTATCCAAAAACTTACATACAACTCATCCTTCTTAGACCAAGAGACCTAAAATATGTCTTTTTCCACCTGTTCTTTTCGGAGAAAACACACTGCACCTTACATTAACATGTCTATCATCAGGCCACAACCCATATTTTCCCATTAAAAGTCCCTTTAAGATATATTCAGTTATTGAGCAAATACTTAACTCATTGTCTACTAGCCAGCAGGCACCGTTTTGAGCACACAGGTATACAGGAGATAGATCCATGTTAGAAAAAACAAATGTTATAGCAACACATGAAATCTGGAGTGACAAAAATACCTCTGACAAACATTAGCATTATCAGTTCTAAAATGCCACCTTTATTTCTCTTCATAATGTCAAATCAATTCAAGCTAAAGCTTAAACAAAGAGCCTAGAGGAATAATGGCCTTTTAAATGTAATAAGATATAAAGAAGCATAATGGTCCCACTAATTAGTCTAATTTTTGCCTTGCTTTTCCCACTGAGGCAATTTAATAAAACAAGGACACAATTCTCATATTGTTCTCATAAAGAAGCTAATAATAATATTCTTGAGGACTAACTGTGTGCCTGGCACTTTTAAAATGCTTTAAATGTAATAATTATTTTAATTTTTAAAATTGAGAAATGAGAATTTCTATCAGTAGAGGTGCTATTCAGTCAGTATGCACCAGAAAATTCCCATTTGTTGTAAAAATACCGAAATATTCTTTTATTGGTTGATAAATGCGTTTAGTTCCCCTACCATTCTCCTGGCTCCTCCCCAATTGCCACAGACCCTCACTCCACCCCCTCCACATTGGAGGCCACTCTACCCCCTCACTATTAAGCAACTAGAATGTTAATTTTTGGCATGAAAGGTCTCCGGGATCCTTCTCCAATGAGCACGCTTTTGAAAACAAATCATGTTGCCTGAGCAAAGCCACTGAGTTCCCACAGCAAACTGAGAACACTGGGCTGTGCTCACCTGGTGGTGGTTGTATGAGCCTCAATATTATACAGACAATGCTGGGGCCCAGGGCTGGCTGAGGCTTTCAGGACAGCAGCAAGTCAGAAATCCACCCAGTTATCAGAGCCCATACCACCTACTGGGGTTCAAGTTGCTGGATCCTGCTGGACCCCTAGCCCACTGCCTAAGAATAGGGCTGGGGAGGACCAGGACAGGGCCGGTTGTCCCCTATCTCAATTCACAACATTGTAGAGCACGTTATCATTATCATCCTCCTTTTACAAATTACAAAACTAAGGTAGTGAGCGGACACTTCAAATGTAAGGGTAAGAGCAAGGATTCAAACCCAGGCAGGCTGGCAAAGGAGCCTCTGTCCTTAACCACCATGTTGCTGTGCCTTTCCTCTGCTCTGAGAGCTCAGCACCAAGCGCCTTCAGGAAATGACTTCAATGACAGGCAGTAGTAGAAATACTGAATATACAAAACTGTCAGACTGTAGTATAAGAGAGAAAAATTTACTGTAATTGTTGTTAGTTTAGCAAAAGCTGTGGGAAATTGAACAATGTCATTGATGGTAGAGAAATTTTCTACTTACGGAGATTATACATCACCTAATGACTATCAATTTAAGGACGGAAATGTTGGAAGAATTTGATGCAATTGCCTATGAAATCATGGCTGACTCATGGGGTTATTTAGCTACTGACAGCTCTAATCAAAAGATTAAACCAACAATTTCCAGAAATCAACAATTATTTAGAAATTATAAGAGTGACTTAATGAATCATTTATGGTTGCAACATGTGTCATTTGGTACACAGATGTATAACACCATGTAGTTTAACCTAGTTAGGCAATAAAAAGGAACATTTTTAAATTGTTTATTTAAATATTAACATATGACTCAGAAAGTTGTGACATATTTTAATATAATTTTTCCTAGAAAATAAATTGCAAAGTAAGGCACAGATAAAGTAACTTAAGCAAAAGCACTACGTTAGAAGAAACTAACTGTCTCCCATCCATGGCTCTGATTTGAGAGGTCAAGCATCCTTTTAGGATGGTCAAGCATCCTTTCGGCCTTCATAGGCCTACTAGAAAGTTCTTGTATTGCTGCCTTAATATAGTTTGAACAAACATCCAAGAATACGTGTTGAGTGGAATGGAATACTCAACCTAATTTTTGATGATGAAATCACATAGTGGCCACTGTGAAGGATCATCAATCACCATATCAATCAGGGGAGAAGAAAAAACAATTTCTACAGAATCACTGCTATTTTCTAACCCTCATTACCAAGCACCTTCATTTTTCACACTATTTCCTCTTGGCTACTATTCACATCTTCTAAATTACAGAACTGAAATTAGACTCAGGATCCTTATATGAGTGTTGACATACTGCTGTTAAGATAGCAAAGCAAGGCTCCTAACACCATGATATCTTTTTATTACTCATCAATAATCTCTGAATTATTCATATACTACCTTCAAGTACTGGGCAAGGAAAGGACTATTACTTATGGGTGTTAAAATCTGTGACACATTATTTCAGAGTTTATATTCAGTACCGTCAGCAGACCTACATAACACAACTGCTCACTTATTTTTCAAACAGCCAAGCTCAACTCCTAGTATTATGCATAAGGTGCTTGACAGAATCTTAGAAATTATAACCTAATACGGATAGCTTATGTCTTAGTTAACTGAGGTGCAGAAAGATTCATCTTAGAGGAGCTCAACCAACATTCATTAAAAAAACTTCCACAGGTCAGACATTCCGCAAGCACAAGGTACTGTGATTAACAAACCCTGCTCTAGATCCCTGCACTAGAGAGACACCCAGAGTGCAAAGGAGCAGAAATATCATTTGAGCCCAAGCCAAACTATTTCTAAGGTGACTGTTCTTTCACTGACATTCAGTAAACTACCTAACGTCTCCTAATTAAGAATGTCAAATGAGTCATGCCTCCCGTAAGTTTCATCCTCAAAACTGTCCTCTTAGAACAAGAGTTCTTAGGCATTTGGGGAGAAATTAACTCCTTTATAAATGCTTTCAGTCAACAGAAAGTCAACAGATCACAACCTCTGTGTCCTGGTACAACAAGTTTGGGACAAATTCCACAAGTGACCTCCCAAGGCTTACGCTTCAGGAGGGATGACAAACAAGCAAATGAGTAATATCCATAAATAATTATGACATGCAAAGTACTCTAAAGGGGCAGAACAAGGTACTTTGATAAAGAACAATGTGCAGTCTATTTAGAGGAGATCATTAAGGGAGACCTTGGGGGATGATATTTGAGCTGAGCCTGACTCTAAGAAACGATTAGCCATAAAGAGACTTCGAGTACAACAGTGAAATACATAAATATCTGAAGGTGGGAAATACCTTGGTCCATGCCTCAAGAACTAAAAGAAAGTCCATGTGGCAGCGGGATGGATTTGAAGAGGGGCGCTGGGGCAAGACTACACAGCCCTTATCATGCCAAGACAAAAAGTCGGGCTTTACTCTAACTGCTGTGAAAGCTAGTGGAGCATGTTAAGCTTAAAAATTAAAGGATCTGATTTTCATTTTAAAAATCAGTCTCTTAAATTTGGATGGAATGAAGGGGGAAATCAAGGAATCATGAAGAAACTACTGCAGTAGTCAAGAGAGAGCATGGTGTCTTAGTCTAGGGTACTAAAACCAGAAACAAAGATAAGCAGATGGTTTGAAATATGCTTTGTAAATAAAATTGATAGGGCTGGCAAATGAATTAGATGTGTGGAATATATGAGAGAAGGAATCAATGATCTCCCAGTCTCTTCGACCGAGGATCTGGATCAATAACCATCTCATTTTCTGAGGTGTAAAAGAATTAGAAAAAACAAGTTTTTGTGGTGATGTTAATAAATAATTTAGTTTTAATATGTTATATTTGAGATGACTGTGATATATTCAATGGACATGCCAAACAGACCTCCAAGAAGTATGGACTGGAACTGTTAAGTTAGGGGTTGTCAGCTCAGACATAATTTTTAAAGTCATGAAAGCTCTCCCAGGAAGAGTGGGCTGAGAGAAAACATGGCCCAATACCAAGCCCAGAGAAATCCATAGAAATCATGGAGATTGAACAATGAGAGAGAGTGGGGAGGACTATCCAATGAAATAAGAGGAAATTAGGAAAGATGTCATGGCAGGAGAGAATTATAAGAAGGATGGAACACTGAAAAGTTTGAATATATTTGAAAGATTAAATAAGAAGAGAACAGAAAAAAATCCAATGTATTCGGTACCTAGGAGATATTGAAAAAAGCAACTTCAGTGAAGATATAGAGCGGGAACCAGATTGGAACAGGTTAAAATGACTAGGAGGTGATATAATGAAAATAATTATATAGACAACACTTTCTGGAAGTTTAGCAGTGAATGAAAAAATAAGAATTGAACAGAAGTTAAGACACAGTTGGTGGCTAAGGAATATTTTCATTCGTTTATTTTTTAAGATGAGAGATGTCAGAGCATGTTTATGTAATGGAAATAATCTAGAAGAGGGGTGACAACAGTTGAAAATTTAGGAATGGAAGAGATATCAAGCCCTTGCTACAAAGACAAAAGAAGGTGTTCAAAGCACTTACGGAGGAGGGTCTGGCTTCACCAAAGAGTAATGATACCACTACTAAAAACTAAAGCAATATATAACCCCTTTCAGTAGAAAATGGCGTGCAACAATTACAACTATCTATCTAGAGAAAGAGAGAAATTAAAGGACAGGGAAGTTTAGAGTGGACATATGGATGCCCTCATTGGAAATTCACTAAGTTCATCTTAAAAACATAAAACTATTCCTTCTGCTGTCCTAAAGGAATTTTCTCCTTCATTAGAGTGCTTACTGGGTTATCTTCCAGCTAATGCTATAGGGCACTTGGGTGGCATCAAGGGTACCCACAAGCCTATCACTTTTCCGGTACTTTCCACCCCTTGTGTATGACCCGTAACCCTCCTATTATCGATATAATGGCCAAACACAGTGGAAGAGGACAAGAGATGGGGACAATTATTTTTTCCTCTCTCCACAACCTCCACTTTCAACATACCCTGTTTCTTTTTTTGTTTTTTTAATGTTTTATTTATTTCTAGGAGAGAGAGAGAGACAGCATGACCAGGGGAGGGTCAGAGAGAGAGGGAGTCACAGACTCTGAAACAGGCTCCAGGCTCCGAGCTGGCAGTCAGCACAGAGCCCAACGCGGGGCTCGAACCCACGAACTGTGAGATCATGACCTGAGCGAAAGTCGGATGCTTAACCGACTAAGCCACCCGGGCGCCCCAACATACCCTGTTTCATATTTTCTCCCAATCTTCCTGTATTAGGAACAATGTGATCAGTCTTTTTTTCACAGTGTCTTTTTCATTATTTGTCAGTAAGATGTCAGTGACCCTCTGTACTCACATGACTACTTTTCCTTTTCTACACATTCATCTGTTCTCACAGTTTTAGTTACAATGTGCTGATGATTCACAACTGTCTTACCTCTAACCCAATCTTCTTCTTAAGTTGGCATCTCCAACTGGGGCCTCAAGGACACCACATGCTTGAAAATTCTACAACTAAATTCATCACTTCCCCACCCCATTCTCAAATCAATCTATTTTCCAACATCTCATTGGTTTTCCAGGGCAGAAGCCCGGTTCACTCTGGACTCCTCTTTTTGTCCTTAATCCAATCAATTATTACATCCTGTCAATTTTATTTCCTTCACATTCCTATCTACAAATTTTCTTCACCCTTAGGATTACTCACAGTTCAGATCATCACCAGAACAGCTCCTTATAGTCTCTCCATGCCTCCAAAATGGCTGCTCTTTAACTACTTGGTATTCCCTCCACACTGCAGCCAAAATAATATGTTCTGCTTAAAGCAGTTTAATGCGCACCCCGCAAATTACCATGATGATAAAACAGTCAACTTGTAATGTGCCTTACAAGGACCTTCATGGCCTAGCCCCTGCTTATCTCTTGGATTTCACATCTTACTCGTTAATGTTCTCTTGCTTTTGTGCTTGTGAGCGTGTGCTCTTTCTGTCTCGGAGGCTGTCACTCATCTCCTACTTACTCTCCCTCTACCCACACCTTCACTTAAGATAACTCCTCTGGGTCTCCGTTTACTTGCCACCTCTTCCAGGAAGCCCTTCCTCTGGTGTCTGAACCTCACCCCTCTATCAGTGCATAGAGCTAGTTCGAGGAGTACACCAGCTGAGAAGGGTTTCCAGTTATATTTAGAACTAAAAATAATCTCACCAGGAAGGTAAGGGAAATGGAGGAAGTATATTTTACAAAAATGACATTTACTCCACTTTCTCTCGTTGAAAGCACCATACACAATAGGAACACCTGGAAAGCTAAACCATATTCCAGGTAGAATGGACTCATTGTAGCCTTTTGTTCTGCCAATTGGAGAGTGCAATTTGGGGCCGGGAGTTATCCAGGATAACACAGGAGGACTGAGAACCTCTACCAACTAACTGTCTCACCTTCTCTAACTTTTCAACATGTTCTCAGTCTCTTCAAAGAAGAACTAAACAAACAAACATGTCTAAATGCAGCTCTTCTCCTATCTGCCCCTCTGCTTACCATTAACAAAACAACTGCCCTTCATTATGCTTTCCCATTTACCTCTTTGTCTTCACTACTGCGCGGTGAAGTCAAGGACTGAGCATTGAATATAGTTCTTCCGTGGATCTATCTACCTATGTGCCTACCTATTTACTTACTTAACAGATGAAAACATTGCAGTTCAGAAAGACTGGGTGAAACCAATATGGAAACCAGTCTGGCTCCAGCGTTCATGGGAATACTCAGTAACTACGCTGCCCACCCTGAATAGCTTCTACCGACTCAAAATTGAAAAAAAATATGGAATTAAAATAGACCATAACATAATAAAATGCTATTTATTTCTTACCTCTTCAATTCTACCACTGCTTCCTACCCGCTCATTAAAACCTTAATCCCCAGTGCATTTCATGAGACTACTACAGGGCAGTATACACATGCTGAAGGTTCTGGGAGATTTTACTTATGGATGCATTAATAAGAAACTGATATGGAATGGATAGAGCTAGACTTTAGTTCTGAATCCCAGGTGAATATCTGTTAACCCAATGAATCAATGGGAAACAAAAGGTGGTATATAAGTCGAGCTCTTGAAACACTCACTTCTCTTGGTGATCTTGAGCCCCCTTCTCGAAATGTTGGTTTACATCTGAAATTAATCTGTCATTTAAAAAGAGAAGTGTATTAGATTAGGGATAAGCATCAGACTAGACTGACTTACTTGAACAAATCAACAGTGATACACATAGCGAGCTCACAAAACAAAAGCCCCAAGGAATAAGAAACACAGTTTAACACTTGAAATCATCACCCCAGATAATCTATAGGGATCCCAAGTGGATCCTATATCTCCAGTCCACGTGTCTTCATTCTCATTGATGAGAGCAACAGATCTTTAAACAATAATGCTCTTTCAGCATAAATTTGAGGAAAAGAGATAAAGAGTAAGAACAAACACATAAGGCAGCTGAAATCACCCAGCTATGCTGTAGATTTTAAAAGTAGGGCAACATAAACTTGAGAAATTTTTAATATGATGATGATTATCCACACGCACAAAGTTTTCTTTAAGTCTGCAGTCTGCCTTTCCTTTAGGTGGGCAGGCCTTGTGGAAACATGCACATCTTCTTTAGCTACTTAATTAAGGTGAAAGGAATATAGAAATTAAGGAAGAGATATGTAAATGGAATTGGGACAGCAAGAAAAAAACAAACGAAGAAACCCAACAAACTAGAGAGAGAAAGACAGAAAATGTTAGCAGTCATTCCCACAAAATACCAGTTGGCGACAACTGGTAATATATTTGTGAAATAATGAATGTCTCAGAGGATTGAAATATTTCAACAGATTCACACAGGGCAGCTCAAGAACACAGGTAACACAGAGACCCACACACGGCAACAGAGGAGACGCACGAAGAGGACAGCATTGGACTCATGACTGGAGCCTCCCCTTTCACGCAAATGACCGCTGAATGCACTCTGTGGAATCTACTTCGTCTGGCGGCGGGACACCACGGGGATGTCACCTCCCGGCAGCCCACACATTCATGCTGTGCAAGCAGAACACGGCCCCAAGAAAGGAAGGGGAGCTGGCCTCTGGCCTCTTCCCTGCTGTCTTCTTCCTTTAGGAAGAAGAAACTCACAAACATCAGACAAATCTACACGATCATTCCAAAGAGCTTATGGATTTGTTTTTTTCGTAAAGAAAAATGTGGACTATCCAATGGGTGAATAACAATGTCATTGTAAAGAAAATTGGTGTGTACCAGGCTTTTCTCTCTAACCTCCCAAGAGGCAACATAAAATGATACCAAGTTATCCTTTGGGAAGCAACAGAGCGAATTAACCCCAAGAACTGCTTTTCCATTAACTAATCCGGTAATAACGTTGGTCTTCCAGTTTTTTTGAAGGGCACTCTTGAAAAAGTTGGAAATAGGAAAGGACAGCCGGTCTTTGAAGTCCAAATACTTGTAGTGTAGCCAACATTACAGCAGGTGGCAGTGTCTCACCTTTTCTAGCTGTTCAATGCAGGCGGTGTGGACGACGATTTTACAGACCGCACACTTCCTCCTGAGGGCCGATTTCTACAACATTCAATTCAAAATACAAGAAGAAACATTAACAGTCTGTTCTGAAGAATTCCCTGGTAGTAAAGAGAGTATACATAAATAAAGCAAACGTAAGCACATTTAAAACGTCATCTTAAGCATTTGATATTAGGGCAAACTTCAATAGTCCTTTTTGACCCATCTACTATCTCTGTATCTTCATGACTCAGGGCATCCTAGATTTTCTCTTCAGAATACAATGCATATGATAGCTGCTATGTAGAAGTAGTAGAGCATATAATACGAACCATATAACCTAACGATGCAAGCATTAGTATTCTCTGGGTTTTTTTACATTTTTACTGTAGTAGTTAAGCGGCATGGCCAATATCCAGAATTAGGTCTAAGTTCAAACCAGACATTCTTTCCCGACCGTTAAGAGTTGACATTTCAAGAGGCCAATCGCTTTCATCTTCTATCCCAGCCACAAATCTACACTGAGCTACTTGGGTCTTCACCCAAATCTTTGGGAAACTGATAAGAAAACCTAATTCTTACACCCGATCATAACAATACATAGTAATAAAAACAGCAGCAGCAGACAACATGAACGTAGTACTGGTTAGGAGTCAGGCACTCTTAGAAGCACTCATAAATCGTAACTCATTTGATCTCCACAGCCCGAAGAAACATGTAGTATTTTTACTCCCATTTTACTGATGAGGAGCTGCGTGATGTGCCTAAGGTCTCGTAATTAGGACACAGCAGAGGCGGGGAGTCTAGCTCTGAAATCACATAATTGTGAGCATCACACAACTTGGCCTGACAGGTACTGCCAGTTTCAATGAACAATAAAAATACTTTCTGAGGTGTATCTTTTGTCTAACAATAGAAAACGAGTAGTGGGGTCAAAGAGGAGCAGATGGAATCTTAACACCACCACTGCCACGGAAACCCAAGCTAGAGATGCTCGGGCCTCTCTACATACAAAGCACGGGCCGGGAAGGTAGGGCTGCGTGAACAACCGTGGGGTTTGAGCACTGAAAGCAGCTTATTATAACAAAGCTAATCTGCAAAATAGTGAATCAAAGCATTCGAGTGTGAAGGCCTTGCCTTTCTTGGGAAAAGTGCTAGTATAGATTGCTGGCAAACTGCCCTCTTCTGATGTGTGGCTTCCTTTGCTGAGATAATCACTTTTGAGCCAAAATGTGAAGTATTACTACAACCAAAAAAGACCAGAAGGGACTGCAAACCACCCCCCTGGAAAAGGCAGTATCGGAAACACAACTAGAGCCTCCTGCCTCCCGGATGCTTCCACTCGCTCAATGCAAGGTATGCATAGTGGTGTCTGCCACCCACAAAGTGCCTAGAACCGTGCAGGAATGTGGCAACCAGACCTGCAGTCTCACCCTGCTGGGGGGGAGGGGGGCGCAGGGGGCCGGTTAGGGACAGGCTTGCAGATGGCTCTCCTCTGCCTAAGGAGAGAACACAGTCTGGAACATTAAATAAGTTTGACAATCCACTGATTTTTCAAATAACAAAAGATAAGGGAAACACGGGCATCCAGCTACCCTACTGGAAAGTGCCTCCGTGCCACTACTAAAAAGAAAGGAGGGAGAGTGGGGAGAGTGGGTGGGAGGGGGGTGAACAAGTAGTTGCAGAAGCAGCAGCAGCAGCACTCAAGGCAACAATAATAAAATTCTAGTTTGAAATGTTCACGAGCAGATTGCCATAAGCAAATTCACGTTGCTCTCCGGTTTCCCTCGGATCTCCTGGTACAGATCACTGATGCAGCACCACCTGCAGAAAATGCATGGGGCACTTGAGTCTCACTGCTAACCAGCGCTGCAGTGATGCTAAGGGAACTGGAGCTGATTCCGGTCTACTCACTATCCACGAAACACACGGTAGGTCACACTGCAGACAAACACAGCCACTCCACTCATGGCAGGAGTGGACTCAATGATGGGTTATGATTTAAGGACGCCTCCTTCCTTACCAATAATTCCTGCTCTGATCTGGCTTTGCCCCTGTAGAGCTCCAGGGACTCGAAGAGGCTCCTAAGAACACTTCTGAAATAATAAAGAGGACCATTCCATACCGCAGCCCTTTTTGTACGATGGGTGTGTGGTGTCCTTGGAATGTGCTTTCTCGGATAACATCTAGCACCAAGCAGACGGAGGGACCCGGACACACTCAGTGAAACCAGAATACCTCTTCCTTTCCTTGTTCCATACCAGGATTCTAAATCATGAGCCCTTTTGAAGAAGGGATTTGATACCAAGGTTAACATGTCCTCTCTCAGCTTTCTGGGATAGCATGTAAATATACCAACATCATTAGTATGAATAATTCACTATGTAACGTTCTCCAGGTGATAATGAAGTCAAGTGCTTTAGTTATAAAACCAACTTTATTTAAATGAAATTGAATTTTAAAAGACCATCAGAAAATACATACTTTCATGCCTTGAGAGCCAGTCTATACAGACCGTAATCTGAATTTTTCTTCATAAACACTACAACACGATGTATTTTTTAAATTATTTACTTATTTTTAAATTTACATTCAAGTTAGTTAGCATATAGTGCAATGACAATGTTCTCTGTATTTCAGAGTCTCTTATGTTTTGTCCGCCTCCTTTTTTACATAGTACTGTTGCTTCCCTTCCCTTATGTTCGTCTCTTTTGTATTTTAAAGTACACATGAGTAAAGTCATATATTTGTCTTTCACTAATTTTGCTTAATATGATACACTCTAGATCCATCCACACTGTTGTAAATGGCAAGATTTCATTCTTTTTGATTGTCGAGTAATACTCCATTGTATGTATGTATGTATACACGTACACACACAGACACACACAGACACACACACACACACACCATATCTTCTTTATTTATTCATCTGTTGATGGACATTTAGGCTCTTTCCATACTTTGGCTATTGTCGATAGCGTTGCATGTGCCCCTTCAAAGCAACACACCTGTATCCCTTGCATAAATACCTAGTAGTGCTGTTGCTAGGTCATAGGGTCGTTCTAGCTTTAATTTTTTGAGGAACTGCCATACTATTCTCCAGAGTGGCCACACCAGCTTGCATTCCCACCAGCAGTGCAAAAGGATTCCTCTTTTTCTGCATCCTTGCCAACATCTGTTGTTCCTTGAATCAACACAATGCATTTTACTACAAAGAATGGTCATTTTTCTAACAGACCAGAGATCCTTCCATTGTGCTTATCTTCTGTTGTCCTCAATTTCTTAATTAAGTGACAGTTTCTAAATAGTTTATAATCTGAGAAATCAGGTAATTAAGGTTTATAATCATATGCAAAATTAAGCAAATTCTGAATGATAGCCTGAGGTCTTTTTCCATAGTAATAAAATATACATGGATTTTAGTGCCTCAACTAATAAAAATTTTTCCAGTGAATCAGAAATTTTAACTGTTGACTTCTTGGTTGATGACTATGTTTCAATTGGTCAAAGTTATTCAAAGTAGCTTCTGGGCAGAAATTGCTCAGAACAGAAATAATTTTTGTGCTCGGTTATGTTAGTTTTTATTTGAGAGATTTAAACTAAATGTAAAGTTAAAATGTCAGAATCTAGACTGTAAGTATTTACTTTTCCTTAAAAAAAAAAAAACCCTCTTATTTAAATCGATATTTCATTCACTATGAAAAGTGTTAAGTCAAAAAAGAAAAAACAAGACATTAAGGGGCACCTAGGTAGCTTAGCCAGCTGAGTGTCTGAATCTTAATTTCTGCTCAGACCATGATCTCATGGATGGTGGGATCGAGGCCCCTGTCTGGCTCTGTACTGACAGGGTAAAGCCTGCTTGGGATTCTCTCTCCCTCTCTCTCTTCCCCTACCCCACTCTTGCACACATACTCTCTCTGTGTGTCTCAAAATAAACTTTTAAAAAGTCATTAAGTCCTTCCACACGTTTGCAAATTAAAATTTAAAAATTTTAAAAATTCACTCTCTTCAATTAATTTAAAGGCCAATGCTTTAAATATCAAGTAAAGTCACTTCAGTGCTCTTACTACTGGTTTTCAGATTTTGTCAGTATTAGTATTCAAAGGAAATCCATTAGATTGTAAATTGTGTGTGTGTGTGTGTGTGTGTGTGTGTGTGTGTGTGTACGTATACACGTAACATCTGTGAAAATTAAGACGATATAGGACATAATACAGAACATATCTAATCGCATCATGACCAGCATCTATTTAAATAACACGAACATAATGATATGCTGTACTTCGCAATGGTGGACACAATCCAACTAGCAGACTAACAGTGACTGTAAGACAAAACACTCTAAGTTCCGACTTGGCCCTTCGTATTTCACCACGCTGCAAGCACTCTGGCATTCACAACAGTGACAGCTCCTTACCCAACTTCAGCTCCTATCAAGCACAGAAGTAAAGTTATGGCAGCCTGAGACCACTGGAGCTGGGCCTGGGGCAGAAGGATCCGAGGCAAACAGTGGTAGAAAGTGTGTAATTGTTCTTGACAAAGGGTTTAAGATCTAACAGAATCCCACCCACTCCACCACCTTTGGCCCTAAGTTCCTGATCCATATGCACCACCAAGAAAGCTAGATTTTCTTCCTCTGAACCAGAGATGTGATTTTCTCTAAGTAGCAATGAATATCTGGTGATATTGATAGAAAGAAAAGAGAAAGGAGAGAAGGAAGAGGGAGGAGGGAAGGGAAGAAAGACCCAGCTGTACAAGCCTATGATTTATAGAAGGGCTGGAGCTTCTTAGCGCCTAAGGCAATTCAATTGTCACTCCTAACAGTCTGAACTTTGACCTCAAGAAGTATGTACAACAAGGCAGGGTGTGCCCCTTCCCTATTTCTCCCTGAAGATGGAGCAAATTAACCTGTCTGCTGACCTTACCCCTCCTGCTGTATCTTAAGGATACACCCCCTTACTCTCACCCCCATGTGCATCCACCGGTTTAACTACCAGAGATCAGAAGTGGAGAAGTAGGAGGAAATACCCAAGAGTCCTCAAACCTGGCCTGACAAC